TATCTGGGTGTACGGTTGCGTGTACCGCGTTGTACGTGCGTGTATCTTGCCGTGTACCGCGTGTACGTGCGTGGTAACCGCGTGGGCACGTGGTTGTACCCGCCGTGTATCTGTGTGTACGTGCGTGTAATTCTGCGTGTACGTGCGTGTACCCGCGTGTACATGCGCGTGTATTCTGTGCTGGTACGTGCGTTACCCGCGTGTACGTAGGGGGCGTGTATCGCGTGTACGGGCGTTGTACGTGCGTGTACGTTACGTGTAATCGCGTTGTACCGCGTGGTAACGTGGCGTGTACGTGCGTGTACCTGGTGTAACGTGCTGTGTAACCCGCGTTTGTACGTGCTGTGTACCCGGCGTGCACGGCGTTGGTACCGCTTGTACGTGCGTTATACGGCTGTTCACGTGCGTTGATCTGCGTTGTAACGTTGCGTGTACCGCAGTGCAATCCGCGCTGCAAACCGCAGTTAAGATCACGTGACTCGCTTGGGACCTGCTGGCTAATTGGTCGGTTACATAGGAGCGCGGTGTCGGAATGAATGACACAGCGACCTCGCACAAGCGCTGTGGAATCTGCACCACGTTGGCAGAAAATATCAACACGTTGTGATATTTTTTCCCACACGCAAGAAATCGCTCCCGGCTCCGTGTCGTCTTTGCACGCGCAACAGCGTGTTGTCTTGATTGCTGCGCCTCAGCACGTCGGGGGCGATGGGCGCCAGCACAAGCGGACACACGTGTGCGGAGGCGCGGCTAGACTCACGTTACTCACGTAACTCACGTAGTGGTAGCGGGTGGAAGCTTCGACCGGGGTACCAGTTATAATTGGCAGCATGGCGTCTATGTTATAACCATTTGGAAAAGTTTCGTATTGTTCGTCGTTTCGATTCGTTAAATAATGGACGAGCGCGCAACTGAAAATTTTTGTTCATCGGGAAGGTCATTCTAATTAAATAGGGAAAGTCGAATTTTGTATGGCAGGGACTAACGACTATAAATATGAGTACTGGTACAAGCGTAGATGGCAGCGTTTTCAAATGTGTTTACATTGCGGCGGTGGTCGGTAGCGGGACCAGGATAGAGAACAATTGGCTCCCAATGAAAACAACTTGTGCCTAAACCCTTAACCCTAATTCCTAACACTACCCCCCCACCTTTAACCCTAGCCTAACCATAAGCTATTGTTATTGATATAATAATAATATTAATTTATATGATGTAAAAAATTCGTAAATTGAACATTGTTCATTGGTCTTTATTGCGGAACCCATGTTCTCTAATCTTGAACGGTTTAAGCGTGTTATGTCGAATCTATCATCTTGCAGTGCAAGCCTTGTGATATTTGCAGTGTAGGGATTGCAGTCATACACTGTAGGGAACAGTCTGTGTCGGGTTATTTACTTAATATATAGTTGACGGGAGTTAGTCCACTTGCAAGTATTGTTAGGTACGGAACCAGTTGCTGTATAGGGCCTACTGAGTCTAGACTATAGCTAAGGGTAGTAAAGGCTGAAAGGGTGGACCCTGGGGACATAGGACCTATGAGGGCGTTAGCAATACATGTGCAGAAACCGGCGCACAAAACACTTTACATCGCAATGTTACATTGCGTATTATATGTTAGGACTCTAGGCTATATAGGGCAGTAAAAATAAACCTGTATATAATAAACTTTAGACATTAGGGTTTATTCATTTCTGTTATTACATGAGCCATTATTGATTTAGTCGGTTAATTTTACGGGTCTCGTACACTTACTAAACGCTAATAGCGTCTCTATGATCCCTCCAGGGTACGGCCGGACGTACCCTGCGGGTACGGTCGTATGACTCGGAACGAGAGTACCTCTTTGGGTCACATTTTGATATGGTTGAGGGTTTAGGATTTGGGTTTAGGGTTCGGGTTCGGGTTAGGAGGTAGGCGATAGCGACTCCCTAGGAATCTGTTAGTGGAGGAGGGAGGTATGTTTCGGCATATTAGATGGTACCACGGGTACGTTCCGGTATATTCAGACGTTACCCAGGGTACGTTACCAGCAGTACGCCGGCGGGACATTACGGACCTCTCAGCGATTGCTACGTGGTTCTTCGGCTTAGCGTAGTCACTCGGATGGGTAATCGAGGTCTGGGAGCGAGTCCCTGTCTATATAGTCTTTGTCTTGCAGCATTTTTCCATTCTTGGCAAGGTTTCGCGAACGCCTCGAGAATCTTTCGTTCAGTCTTATCCTGTGATTCTCGCGTCACACGAGGCTCGGATTTACGAACAGAGACATTATGTTTATATAACAACGTGAACACTGTTCACGTTCCTAACGTATACCCTCTATGCTCCCTACTAAAATTGCGGACTGTTCGCGCTGGCAGCTATGGAATTGCGTGCGCCGGCCAATTCATTCGGCGGCACGGATCATAGTGCCAGCGGCTGCTATACTATCGTAGGGGACCGTTCCGCGTCGGCGTTTGCGCCGCTCTGCCGAGGCAACCTGCTGCGCAAGATCGTGGGCGGCTTAGCGCTTTGATAACAATCTCTTTTTCGGCAAACGTTTCTCTTTAGATATCCTCCCGTCTCATCGGGACAGTCTGACCAGCCGGATATCGCGCGAAGCGCGCAAACACCCATGAACCTAAGCTTGAGCGACTCTAAGCAACGGGACTTCGCTGCCCCACTCCATCACTTTACACGGGATTTACATAGTAGCGGGAATTCTCGCGCAACTGATTGGAGCAAGTTCTTCGGCGATTTGCCGACCTGACTTACCCACGTTACCTTGGACATTTTGCTGAGAAAATGCTCCCAATTCGTTGTTGGGCTATCGGCTCGCGACTTTGTTTGCTGCAGAAGCGAGTTGATATTTTTACGTTTCTTATTCGGAGACACGCCACCGGCGGACTGCGACAAGAAAACACGGTCGACGGGCGATTATATATGTGTAATATAGATAGTGGCCTATCTATATTAGTTGCAAGCGTGCAACAGTCGCGCCGCGAGAGTATGGCAGCCGGTAATTGCAGTGGTTTGGAAACTACGCAGTGTAGCCGTAGGTGAAAGAGAGTAGGCTTGGCTAGTATAGTATAGAAAAAGTAAGAATTTGCTTACTAAGTAAATAGATTTCGTATTTAGTTAGGCATTTCTATTTTATTGAAACGCTTCAATTAGTGCCTGTTGGTTCCAGTGTTCATCGTTCTCACATGCCAGGCAGTCGGTGTCTCGTTCACTTCAAATATTGCGAAAGCCTGTGAAATTTTAAAGTGTAATTAGTGTTGGACGGTCTTGGCCCAGCCACAGGTGGGCTGATGGTTGTTTTTAAATTTTAAAATCTTAAAATTAAATTTAAATTTTAAAGGGGTGATTTAATAAAATCCTATCTGCAAAGGTAGATCTCGGAGGGAATTTTCCGGGCAGTTATATTTCACAAGGCTTTCTGTCTGTGTTCGTTCATGTTCTAAGTCTGGTTGTGAAGATTTTGGCTAGTGGTAAAAACGACCGGCTAGTAAAAAAATTACATGAGCAAAAAACAAAATCGTGATTTGAGTTCAATAGAGCATTGGCCTCTGAGATGGCCTGGCATGTTGAACATGTTCGTGCAGTGTATGTCCACTTGGAAGCTGGATTTAGCCACTGCTTGTAACAGTGGTTACAGAAAAATCAATGACTCTTTGTGATTGTTTTAGCTGTCAGTGGGATCGGATACTGACTTATTACCTCCGGCCCAACGGAGTTGGAGGGAGTTATCGCTTTCGCTCTGGTGGTTTTCGTGTGTTTTGTGTCGTTCTTGCGCGATCAGATATTAGCCAGCCAGCCCATGCGGATTGTCAGCAAGCCGTGGCGTGTATGGCGTATCGTTTCGGGTTTGGCGGATTCTATCGATTATCAACCCAGCGAGCCAGCAACTGTCAGCAACGCCAGCGCAGCGGTACATCGTGAGCCGAGCAGCAGCAACGAGGCGGCTGCTACGAGCGAGCGAGCAGCCAAGCAGCAAGCCAAGCGTGTTACATGTGGCAGTTAGCGGGGTATATCGGTGGTTATTCTTGTGTTCGTCAAGTCGTTATTGGAGTATGGTATTGTCGCTTTGGCGGAAGGTCATGCACTTCGTGAGTGCACTCTGTCTAGTTCAACTGTGTTAATTACAGTAGGGTTTATAAAGGTAGCAGCCTGCAGGACGTGATAATAATAATCAGAACTGTTAAGTAGTTCAGTGTTCTCATTAGGAAACGGGCACCGGGCCGGGAATTGACCGGTCTACTCTGCTGTTGGCGGTTACATTGGCTTTCAAGTATGATATTAAAAAATAAAAATAATTTTTTTATTTTTTTATTGCATTTTAGTTTGCTCTAATTATTCTCCAAAGTGAAAGTGTCTTATGAAGCTCACTACTAATAAAATCAAGTTGGAGGTATATTTTGTATGATGTATGTGCACAAGAAGCATTGTTTTGTTTTTGAGTAACGCTATTTATTTACGTACTTAATTGTCTAACTCTTATAATTACTAAATCGTCATAATTTGGAAACTTTTGGTGAACTCTGAATGTACCAGGAGAAACCAAATTGGGAAAAAGGACCATACTGTAATCCAAATGTGTCTGTGTTTACTGCAGCTCAGAATACACCAGATTGCATCTCAGAGCATCTAGGTTTTTAAAAAAAATGTGGGGGGGGGGGTACCCCCAAACCCCCCGCCCGCGCTCCGCCATAGCCTCTTGCACAAAAGCATTTCGGCCTGTTACTATAAAAGATAATGAAAACCCTGAGTAGTGCAAGTTCCAGTTCAGTATAAAATTTATCAATTCTTTACATTTAAATAGGTTATCTTCATTGGTATCTATATATGTGGTATTTATGGCGATATCATGTTTCTAATCAGTCTGATATCAGGTTTTTTCCACAGCACATCGATTACGAGTGTTGCGATATGTGATTGTTCAGATCTGGTAGACGTACTGCTATGTTGTGTTGGTCGTTGTCATATGTAGTTAAGACAATTCTTTTGCGTTCCCTCTGCAGGTTACCAATGCGGTGCTGAAGCTGATTGAACGAGAGAGGAATGGAGAGACCATCAACACACGCCTCGTCAGCGGGGTCATCAACTGTTACGGTATATCTTAATGCATGTTCGCAGACGTCTCCCTCCTCTCATTTTCTTCCTTCTCGCGTGTGTCCTTTTGTTCGAGCAAAATTGAATTAGATTTGGAGTGTGCGTTCTGTCGGAATTGGTTCCACAGCTGCATTGATCTCACACTCGTCCTGTCTCTGTCTCTGTGTCTGTCTCTCGCTCTTTCTCTCTCTCTCTCTCTTTCTCTCGCTCTATCTCTCTCTGTCTGTTGCTCTCTCGCTGTCACTCTCTGTGTTTCTCTGTCTCTACTATCTCTACTACACTATTTCTCCAATCCACGTAATGTCACGTCTCCTCTCATTCTCTTCCCCTTTTCTGATTCTTGTCATCATTACGTCGACAATGTATATGACAAGCCTGGTTAGATGGAATGCTACAAGGTCATTGTCTTCAGTGGTTTCATTTGAAAACCAGTGCACGACAAATTCAATCACTTACTATACATTGTATTACATGTGTGTTTTATAGCCGCGAGACTATATACAGAGCGTCAGCTTCTTATAATCGGGCCTTCACGCCTCAGCTTGCACATCCTGATACATTTTTACGCATAGGCCTAGTACTCTCAAAACAATAGTGCTTTGTAGCAACCCGCGTCTTATAATCGTCTGCCAATTGGTCTACGCAGTGGAGCTGGGTCTCAATGAGGATGAACCGAACAGTAAGAGTGGCCAGAACCTGTCCGTCTACACGGAGCACTTTGAGAATGAGTTCCTGCAGGACACGCAGCGCTACTACCTGAAGGAGAGTTCCGAGTTCCTCCTGCAGAATCCCGTCACGGAGTACATGAAGAAGGTGGGTGGGGGGAGAGGCAGGGAAGGGTGTAGATGGATACATGGATACATGACATGAAGAAGGTGGGTGGGGGGAGAGGCAGGGAAGGGTTAAATGCACAAACTTGCGTTAGTGTGCATCTTTGTCAGTGCTTGTACTTGTATGTATATATGTATGAATGTATATATGCACATGCTGGTGTTCCTGAAGAAGTGAGCTGTTAGAAGTGTGTGTGTGCGCGTGCGTGCGTGTATGCGAATGCGTGCGTCCAAAAAATGTTATTAGATTGTAAGGAGCAGCTTATGATGCCCGCATCAGAAGTGTGACGGCAAGGCAGCAACCCTTCTAGAGCTGCTGCTGACTGTGCTTGCTGTGTGACACGTTCTGCAGGCGGAGACAAGGCTGTTTGAGGAGCAGCGCCGGGTGCAGGTGTACCTGCATAGGAATCTGGTTAGCATTTAATTAAGACTCACAGAGATCCACTTGTATGTATTTCTGACGTGAAAGTTCATAGTTCATTGTTGGGAATTTTGCAATTGCTATAAAAATCGATACTAATTGGCCATTTTTAAATGGCCACTCATTCTTTGAGCAAGACCATAGGGTATATTTCATAAAAAAAATTGGCGCATTCGCTGAATTTCCCATACGTGCGTGTTCTCGCTCGAAGATGTCTGTTGTGGGGAGGTGTTTGCAGGGGTCTGTTCTCTTGCTGTCCTTGCACTGTAATGTGGAGCATTAGCGACACACTGCTATTGGCGCATTGACCTAGTTTTCGGTTGCAACCACTTGAGACCTCGTTCCAGTGACTGAGCTGCAGCAGCAGACATGTACACCGTTCTCACATGACTGCTCACGTGCCAGCAGTCGTGTCTCGTTCACTCAAATATGCGAGCCTGTGAAATTTTAAATGTAATTCGTTTGGACCGGTCTTGGCCCCAGCCCACAGTGGCTGATGGTGTTTTTAAATTTTAATCTTAAATTTAAATTTAAATTTAAAGATGGTGATTTAAAAATCGATCCCGGCAAGTAGTATCTACGGAGGGAGATTTTCGTGGGCAGTTAATCACAAGGCTTCTGTCTGGTTCGTTCATGTCTACAGTCTGTGTGAACTAGTTTGGCTATGGTAAAAACCGACCGGCTAGTAAAAAAGATTACAAGCAAAAACAATGTGTTTGAGTGAAATAGAGATTGGCCCTCTGAGATGGCCTGCATGTTGACATGCCGTGCAGTGTATGTCACTGAGCTGGATTTAACAATAGCTTGTAACAGGATTACAGAAAAATCACATACTCATTGTAATTGTAATAGCTGTAGTGGGGATGGGATACTGACCTTAATTCACTGTGTAATATAGGTAGGGTTTATAAAGTAGCAGCCTCAGACTGTATAATAATCAACTGTTAGTAGTGCGAGTTCCAGTTCAGTGTAAAATTTATAAATTCTTTACATTTAAATAGGTTATCTTCATTGGTATCTATATATGTGGTATTTATGGCGATATCATGTTTCTAAACATACATGTCACTATCAGTCTGATGTTAGGTTTTTTCCACAGCACGTCTATAACGAGTGTTGCGATATGTGATTGTTCAGATCTGGTAGACGTACTGCTATGTTGTGTTGGTCGTTGTCATATATGTAGTTAAGACAATTCTTTTGCGTTTCCTCGGCAGGTTACCAATGCGGTCCTGAAGCTGATTGAGCGAGAGAGGAATGGCGAGACCATCAACACACG